CTCCCACTCTGCCCTTTACACACAGCCAGCCTTTTGCTGGCTTTGAACCGCCCCACAGGACATGCCACACAAGCCACATCACAACAAGGGGGGGCCCTCCGCCAGCCGATGCTGGGGCAACCAAAGCAGACGGGCAACGCGACACCTGCCTCCTTCTTACTGATGCCCTTCCTTAGGACAGAAGAACACATCCCAACCCAAGATTTCCAAGGCCTTTACACACAGCCAGCCTTTTGCTGGCTTTGAACCGCCCCACAGGACATGCCACACAAGCCACATCACAACAAGGGGGGGCCCTCCGCCAGCCGATGCTGGGGCAACCAAAGCAGACGGGCAACGCGACACCTGCCTCCTTCTTACTGATGCCCTTCCTTAGGACAGAAGAACACATCCCAACCCAAGATTTCCAAGGATGACCCGGATCTTCCCCTATGGTGGAAGAACAAGAAGAGCTCAGGGCAAAGCTACCTTCCTTTCCCTTTGAGAGAGAGAGAGAGAGAGAGAGAGGATGCCAGCACACTGCCAGAGGGGGAGGGGGGGAAAGGGCAGGCCTCAGAGCCAGAACAGTTCCTGAGCGCGCAAGGAAATTATCCCTAACCCTCTCAAAGGGTAAGAGAGAGAGAGAGATTCTGCAGGGTCTCCTACTGGTGGTCGCCTCATGTTGAACTCTGGCCTCTGTTACTTCCACCCAGCGTCTGGGAGGTTGGGGTCTTCAGCCCTCCACGCCTGGGGTGGTGGTGATGGTTCCTGGGTGGAAACAAGTGGGGCACACCGGGGCCGGGAAGATCCAGACCCACGGCCCTCCTCAGGCCCACGGCTCCCTGGTCCAGTCACATGCTTTCAGTCCAAAGGACGGCCTCTGAGCAAGGGACCGTGTGCTCCGTTCTGTCCTCCTTGGAAGTAACGTGGAATAAAAATCCAAGAGCACAGTATAAATAAAGTCTACATTCAAAAAGTGAATGGCATTGTTTCACCTCCACAATCACGAAGGTGGGGGGTCAGTCTGGGGGTGGTCGCTGATTTAAATGCTAAAGATGCCAGTGAGGATCCTCTTTGCTCACTGTTCTGGTATCGGGGACTTTTGTCCAACAAGTTGTCCCTCAGAATCCAACCTGGCTACCCAAGGGTTGGCCTTTGCTCCCTGTCAGACCAGAGTCCACACGACCTCCTGGCCTCTGAAGAACTCCTGGCCATGGGGTAAGTTGAATGTGCCCTCTCTGCACATTTCCACCCCCATAATGCTCTGCCCTTCTCAGTTTCAAGACGGCTGAGCCCCCCACCGGCTTGGGGTCAAGGCAAAGGGGGAGGGGGAGGGCTGCAGGCTGAAACTTAGGCTGAAGACTTTAATCCTGGGAAAATTTGATGGCAGGAAGGAAAAAGGAAGACAGAACACGGGATGGGTTGACTCAGTAAAGGAAGCTTTGCAAGACCTGAGCAGGGCTGCTAAGGTCAGGCGATCACCACTTCGTACGGTTGCCGTAAGTTCATACCTAGGAAACCTTTCCAGCTACATCGTTCTTTGTTCCATGTGGGGGGAGAGCTAGATGTGCCTGTGCCATGGAGAAGGGGACGGAAGTGAGGATGATTGTCATGACTCTGTCTGGGCTGGTCGTTTTGTTCCCCAGAAAGGTAAGGATCCTGAAACGTTTGCCCGATGCAGCCTTGAGGAAGGCCATCCATCCACCCCCAAAAGCAAAACAAAGCAAAGCCCCCTTTCAGCTGTCATGAAAGACAAGAGCGCGGCTTCTCACACCTGGACCCTCCCGAGATCTGGGCACACAAGCGACCCGGGGGGTTGGCAAGAAAAGCCGTCCCTGTCCCGGGGTTTAATTTTTTCAAAGCCTGTGTGTTCCCGAGGGGCTGGCTCTCTTTCCCTCTCATCCTTGGCTCCACACCTCCAGCATGGGAACATCCTCGGTCATGGGCACATTTCAGCAGCAGCAGCAGCAGCAATGGCAGAATGACATCCGAGTGTTCAAGAGCTCTAGGCACTGGACGCCTGGCACGGAGAACCACATCCACAGAGTGGGTGTTCAAGGGCAGCGGCCATGGCGAGCTCCCGGCATCTGCCTTCCAGCACTCCTCCTTCCCGTGGCGACTCCTCCTCCTCACTATATACAGCCTCCCCGCCCAGGTGGAGCTCTGCCCGCCTTTCTCAGGAACTCTCCGGACTGGTCCATCTACGCTCTGAGCCCAGGTCCTTCGGGGCGGCTCAGCAAGAGACCCTCCGTTCTCCAGCACCGGGAAGCTCTGATCCATCCCATCCAGTCTGAGGTGGTGGCTTTATCATTCTCAGTCCCGCACTGTCACTCCAGAGCAGGCTGGGTCTTTTCTGGCAGGGCACCTGATCTGGTGACGCTGGCAAACAGGACCACCGTTTGACCTCCAACCTCTCTCTCTTGGTCGGGAACACAAGGTTCCACCCCTGTCCTGAAGCAGATCCTCTCTGGGGCTTCTTCCCTGAAGGTGATCCAGCAGATCTCGGAAAGGTTGACTAAAGTGGTCGCACCACCCCTCTGGCAAAGCTCCATGCCGGTTTCTGTCACTCCCCTTCTTGGCAGTGCTGATCAGACAACCCTCTGCAGGTAGCAGTGGAACTTGGGCAAATGTGAGCATCGCCACACGAGAAGGCCCAGCTCGTGGGGGTCAGCTTGGGCCAAAGGCCCTGGTTCAAAGCCACCCTGCTGGGTCCTGGAGAAGAGAAGCCAAGCATGGGGCCCCCGAAAGCCACCCGGGGGAGTGAGCTGGGATGTGAGTGACAGGAACAAGTCCCAGAGGCAAGGGGCAAGAGCTCCCTGTGCCGTGTGTACATGTGTGTGTGTGTGTGTGTGTGTTTGTGTGTGTGTGTGTTTGTGCTGGGGGGGGGGAAATGACACAAGAGACACTCTGGGCTGGGCCAGAAGAAGACGGTCAGAGGCCTGGATGGAAGGCAGCTCCACGGGCACTCAGCACACACTCACCTTTCTTCCGAACGACGTCCTCTGACTCTGGCTTGCGACTGACAGAGACCACTTTCATCACCAGGTGGTTCCCCCCCTGACGGATGAGCGAGACCACTTGCTTGTGTCCCACCTTGACCACATTTACTCCGTTCACCTGCAAAGCAAAGGAAGGAACCATCAGGAGGACGAGGGGGAGGAGAAGAGATCACGATCCACCCCAGGGCTGAGCTGGGTGTAGACCTAGCAAGGCAGGGAACTGCCATGCCACCCCCGCCCCCACCCCTCAGGATAACAGGTGGGAATGAAACAAGAGCTGCCATGATCCACTCAACACAGAGCAAGCACGAAGGTTACGCTTCTCTGCACACTTCCTCACATGCACTTCAGTACAGAATTGGGCATGTTTAGCCTTGAGAAAGGAAGATAGAGGGGTGATGATAACACTTTTCAAACACTAGAAAGTCTGTCCTACAGAGGAAGGGCAGGATCTGTTCTCGATCATCCCAGAGTGCAGGACACACAACCATGGGCTCAAGTTACAGGAAGCCGGATTTCTGTTGAATACCAGGGAAAACTTCCTAACTCTTAGAGAAGTATGGCAACGGACCCAGTGACGTCATGGGGAGGTGGTGAGTGCTGCAACACTAGAGGCCTTCAAGAAAAACTTGGACAACCACCTGGCAGATCTGCTTTGATTTATATTCCTGCTTTAAGCAGGTGTTCTGGAAGTTGAGTCATGGCAGCTGGACTTCTTGTTAGGTGGAAATGTTTCACTATTCATCCAATCAGCTTATTCAGTCAAGAAGCTGCTTGGATGAGAAGTGAAACGTTTCAACCTAACAAGAAAGAAGTCCAATTGCCATGACTCACGTTCCAGGTAATCACACCTGGATGATGAGAATCTTCACAGATATATTTCAAGCCGGTAGTTGGACCTGATGGCCTTATAGGCTCCTTCCAGCTTCGCTATTCTATGATTCTATAATGCTATGAAAGAGTTTGTCTCTCCCTCACACCCACACTTTTTGAAAACGGCAACTCTAAACTTGTGAACTGGGTTCAGACAAGGAAATTCCCATGAGAGGTCTTCCGTTCTCCCCACTGGGACAGGGGCCTTTCCTCTCTCTCTCTCTCTCTCTCTCTCTCTCTCTCTCTCACACACACACACACACACACACACACACACACACACACACACACACACACACACAACACACACACACACACACACACACCCCGGGCGCTCGTCTCATGGGCCATCAACTCCAGCTGAATTCGTACCACCTGCTGAATTCGTACCACCTGCACTGCCAGCTGTGACCTCTTGAGCCCTCCCTGGTAAGAGCTCTGCATTTATTTCCCCTTCACAGAAGTGACATTTCCACACCACGTCATGTTCCTCCTGCATTCATTCACAAGTCTGTTCTGTCCTGAGTCCCCACTAAACCGTGAGCCTCAATAAGCAGACATATTTTTAAATTCTCTATTCATTTTTGTTTAAAATAGGTTTTTTGTCATGAAACAGACATGTAAAAGGCTTACATTTCTAAACTAGTCTATCCTAAAACACACATTCCAGCACATGTTGGTTTTTTTGAGCTGGGGATGGCATTTCCGTCAGCCTTGGAAGGCAGCCCACCAAGGAGAAGGAAAACTCTTGACTCCAAACCTACCCTGCCTCGTGGCTCTATCCACTGATGGAAAAGGCTCCAGGAGTAAACTTCGAGGCAAATCCGGAGCCAGAGTCCCAGAGGCAGTTCTTGTCATTCTGGCAATTCCTGCAACATCGCTGGAACCAGTTGTATTGGCACTTGCCTTTCCACTGCACTATTTCAGCGACGTGGAGAGGGGGGACTTGCTGCTTGGGTAACTGCCTATCCTCCATATTATTTTACCCAGCCTTCATGCTCTGGGAAGGACACAGCAGCTCCTCCATACAGAGCATGCTACCATGGTGTCTCAAGACTGAAGGATGGTATTTCTGGGTCAAGAGACGCCCAAAGGACCTTTTGCATCTGAGAGGCAGATCAGGCTGGTTTGCCTCAGAAACCTTTCCAGAACGCCGCTGGCACCCTTTGGCCCTAGCCTTCTCCATCTGGACAAACACGAGTGAAACCTTCAGGGTGACGACAGCTCAACAGCAAATGTTACGGTCAGCAAAGGACAGAAGGGACCCCCTCACCACTGCAGGCGTATACCGGATACCTTGCAGTTGTGGCCAGGTATATATTGGAACCACAAAACGAAGCATCCACACCAGAATCAAAGAACATGAGAGACACTGCAGACTAAAACAACCAGAAAAATCTGCAGTAGCTGAACTTGCCATAAACAAACTGGACATGAAATTCTATTTCAAAATACTGAAATACTGGACAACACCAGCAATCATTACGTCAGACTGCACAGAGAAGCCATTGAAATCCACACACATCAACAAAACTTCAACCGGAAGGAGGAATGTCTGAAACTCAATAAAACCTGGCTCCCAGCTCTCAAAAACAGGGAGTGCAAAAGGTCAACGACCTCCACCCAGCCACAAGGTCAGGGGATTACTGCACACAAAAGATCAGCTAACGACACCCATCAACCACAGGGAAAGATAATCTTCCCTCCTTATCAAAACAATACATCCACAACAAAACACATTAATCAACCATCTCCTGATTAGAACAATAGCCTTCCTCACAAACTAGCCTTCTCACAGCCATAAATACTCCACCCACTCTCAAGCCTTCCCACAGCACAGTTTGCTGTCCTCTGAAGATGCCGGCCACAGAGACTGGCGAAACGTTAGGAAGAACCACTTTCAGAACACGGCCAAGAAGCCCGAAAAACCCACAACAACCACCAGCTGAGCTTCCGCTTTGCCCACAGAGCGGCTGCCAGATGGTGTCAAGGGGCGCGCATGTGAAGGAACCCTCCATCCACTGGCCTATTCCAGCCTCCCAGTGGCTGGCATCAAGCCTGAGGAAAGGCCAGGAGTGGCATCTCCCTTCAAGAAGTGATCTACTGCCGATCAGTTACTGCCCTGGATCTCCTGCCTGTGGGGAAGTTGACTGGCCTAAGGGACCACGCTCTCTGTGTAGGCATTTCTGATTTCTAGTTATGGGGATTATGACCTGGACAAAGGATGCCCTTTATCCTGGCCAGGCTGTGGCACCCTCTCTCCGGCACCCTGTCTTGCCCTCTGCAAACTCCACGGCCTCCTTCGGTACAGCTGGATTGCAAAGATGTTTGCCAAGGCACCTGGGGCAAGAACCCCCAGGCTCTGCAAGGGTTCCAGCTGCAGGAGGTGGGCAGACCTGGCATCCCTCCGAGGGTCTGGCACATGCCTTGTTTTGGCAGGCAGCACCCTCATCCCACCCCCACCCCCCAGTGACCTTCAGCACAAAACCAGCCCTGAGGTCTGACACTCTTCCT